AGCAGAGCACAGCATAAAAAAGAACACTAGCCAAGATCCCCTGATAGAAAACATGAAGAAGCTTCCTGCTGATGTCAAATGATCTCAGCTTCCTCAAGAAGAAGAGTCTGGACTGAGCCTTTTTAAAAACAGCATCAGTGTTCTTCCAGTTTAATTTACTGTCCAGATAGACCCCGAGATATTTATACGACTGGACAATTTCTACCTGCTGACCTGCAATTGTCACTGGGGAGACCTCCTCCTTCTTCCTTCTAAAATCAATAACCAACTCTTTGGTCTTTCCAATATTTAGTTTAAAAAAATTGTCATCACACCAGCTGACAAAAGATTCAACCTCCCGTTTGTAGGCCAGGTCGTTGCCTCGGGTAAGTAGACCAACCAGAGCAGTGTCATCTGAGAACTTCTGGATGTTACAGGACACATGGCTCTGTCTGTAGTCAGCTGTATAAAGTGAGAATAAAAAGGGGGATACAACTGTTCCCTGTGGAGCTCCAGTTTTAGTTAAGATAGTGTCAGACAGCTTTTTATCAAGCCTGGCAAACTGTGGTCGAGAAAGAAGGTAATCCAAAACCCAAGCAACAGTTGTATTGTGCAGTTTAAAAGTCATACGTTTTTTTGCTAAAAGGTGTGGTTGGATTGTATTAAAAGCACTGGAAAAGTCAAAGAACATGATCCTAACAGAGCTGGCAGTTGTTGCAAGATGACTATAAATACTGTGGAGCATAAAAAGTATTGCATCATCTACCCCTACACCCTTCCTGTATGCAAACTGCAGAGGATCTTGGAAGACTGAGACCTGTCTACTCAGGTGACCCAGGACAACCCTTTCAAAACATTTCATTATGTGCGACGTCAGAGCTATAGGTCTGAGGTTAGTAAGACTATGACTCCTCACATTGTTTTTTTTTGGGATTGGGACTAAACAAGATGTTTTCCACATTACTGGAATTTTTGATGAAGACAGAGACAAGGAAAAGATAAAATGAAGGACTGAGCACAGCTGGTCACAGAGCGCAGAGCGCTCCTGTCTTTTAACAAGTTTCAGTGACTGAAGAGTTTTACTTCATTCTTCCAATGGATCAAACTGGATTTAGTCTTAAAGTATCTTCATTTATGGAAACGCCAGAGTAGTGTGGACGCTCGGCATCACGTAGCAAAAGTTATCCGTTTTAAAACGAAAACGTAGTATTGTGGATGTAGCCTTATTCAGCATCAATGCCGTTCCAAAGTGCTTAAACATGACATCTTCATTCTAATTAAATGACAATGTGCTCTCCAAAGACAGAAATCATTGTAAAGTCTTTTATTTGTGCAAAACATTTCCTCTTAAATTAGACAAACACATAAAACAAAATATTTACATCTGAATGAAAAACGTACACAACCTTAAACAAATCTAAGGATGAGCTTCACCCAGTTTCCACCATCAGGCCAGTTTCACCAGTCTCTCACTGGCCTCCCAGAGTTTTTTTGCCACACCGGCGTCTCTTGCGAATGGACGCAGAGTAGCTGGTCGGCAGTCGACGAAGTAGCCCCCGTTGTGTTTGGCAGCTTCATCCGACACAGCACAGTAGACGACAGTCTGAGCCCCGATCTCGCACGGCACGAAAAACATCCACATGATCACCTGCATCAGCATGCGGAACAGGATGGAGTAGTGGCACGTCCAGCCGCTTTGGACAAAACCTGGAGCAACACATGGAAGCAGAGATATAAAGAATATATTTATGTTCAGGTTTGGCAATATGATAAATCCTCTAGTTCGGCACGAGTCATTTTACATCTCGATTTAAGTTTATATATCGTGATGAATTAAATTGAGAAAAAACTTAAATGACCAGATATGAATGTCCGCTTGTGGCTGATCTAGTAAATTACAAGGTACTATACAACAATAATGCAAAAGGCCAGTAAATATATACAATGTCGTCATAAAGAAGCACTGCTCAATGATCACTATTGACCACAATGGCCTGACACAACCACACACACTGTTATCTCAGTGTAAACAGTCTGCTGTTGCACGCTGTACATAGACCAAACCTAAGTACTTCAATTCAAATAAAAACTGTTGATTGTAAATAAATACATTGACAATAAATATAATATGAAGGTATTAATAGAAAGTACATTTATTGACACAGCACTTATCTTAAAACAGACCCATTCAAAACAAGAAGCAGGAATTTTGCAGCCCCTCTTACCAGGGTGCACAGCATAGGAGGTCACTCCTTTCCCTTCAGCGACGCGGGCCACTTCCTGACTGAAGTAGATGTTAGCCAGCTTGCTGCGGCAATAGGTGAAGAAGGGCAGCAGGTTGTAGTTGAGGTCCTGGAAGTCCAGCTTCTGGTATTTGTAGCTGGAGCACGTGAGGGTGACCACACGGCTGGGGGCACATTCCTTCAGGCGAGGCAGGAGCAGATTGGTTAGGAGGAAGTGACCCAAGTGGTTGACGCCAAAACACATGCTGAAGTTGTCGTCCGTCCAGGCGAGGACGCCGGGCATGCCTGAGGAAGCGCCACAGAAGGTGAGGAAAGAGGTCAAAACACGGAGGTGGAGGAAGTAGAGACGTATACAGAACACTCTATGCTGAGATCCCTGACAAGGAAAAACTTAACTTAATCTTTTAATGCTGGTTAACTCCTTTCCTTCTCTGGCGTTATTGTTTTAACGAATCAAGAGTCCTCCATGTGTTGGACAAACCTCACCTGCATTATTGATCAGGATGTCAAGCCTCTTCTCTCTCTGGAGGAAGTCCTTGCAGAATTCCCTCACAGACCGCAGGTTGGCGAGGTCCAGCTCCATGTGAAGGACATTAAGGCTGTGACTCTTGAACTTGATCTCCCTCACAGCCTTCTCAGCCTTGTCAGGGTCTCTGCAAGCCACGATGACGCGGGCGCCTCTCCTTGCCAAGGCGATGGCTGACTCCTTGCCAATGCCAGAATTCCCACCTGCAAAGAGCAAATAGACCAAAAATGGTGAATTCATCACACGTCGTAAGTGCTGATAGGAGGGTTGTGACTTGAAGATGTTTTGGTGTCAGTGGTGCTCAGATTTTTACTTAAAGTAGTTATACGACAGTGTAAAATCACTCGTACAACTAAAGGTCCTAAAGGTAAAAGTACAAAAGTAGCAGCATCAAAATATACTAAAAGTACCAAAAGTAAAGGTACAGATTATGCAGAATGGCCCATTTCAGAAAATGATATGTATTAATACTGTTGAATTACAATTATTGATGAATGAATGTGTTCATCACTTTAATGGTGCAGCTGGTAAAGTTCCTCCTTATCTTAATATAATACATTATGTACATATCGTAGTTAAGTACAGTACTTGAGTAAATGTACTTTGAATTTGCAGCAATAAGCAAGACATGTTTATTTACCTGTGATAAGAACTGTTTTGCCATTAAGTCTTTTCACATCGTTGCAATACCTCCTCTTTTTCATCCATTTCAAAATGAAAAAGGCAACTAAAGACGCGATGATTGTGTAGAGAAAGTACATTTTCCTATATTTTAATATAAGCAGCAACAGTACTGATGCCTATGCCTATGATAGCCTGGTGCTAACGTCAGCTAGCTGGTTAGCTTGCTAGTTGACTAAGAAATACGCCATTTCTTTGACCCCCTACTCTTCCTCCATTCTGGTTCTGGTCGCGGTTAACGTGGCAGAGATGATCCAGGACGAATTTAAAAACAACATAAGACAGTTTTATTAAATTTGATGACCACCATCTTCCTCCTCCGATTCATTTCTGAGGCACTGCAGAGAGATGTGGACAGACACGAACTGCACATGCGCCAAAATGCTCAAATCGCGCAGCGTATCGCGAGAGTATATTGCCACAACGAGAATGAACGCAGGCGTTAACGATGTAGTTAAAAATCCAAGTTTAAATGCTTAAAAACGACATTATAAACATGACAGTGTGGGTGTCGTGAAGCATGCATATTGTGTGTTGGTACACCTGAAGAATGTTTTTGAAAATGAACGACCTACGTTGAACTAACGTCTGTTAAATTATAACTTCCTAACTGCCATTGGAAACCCATGTAGTTGGTTTTTAAATGACCTTTGATACCCTGCACACCTCAATGCCAGGTTTTCAGGCGAGCGAGGTGCAGTACAGGTATGTGTTTGCACAGGTAGGTGTGTGGACGCAGTGTTTATTTGTTCTGTGAGTTAAACATGAGAGCAAACTTGAGACAGACCATTTTTCTCTGTGGAATCTTTCTTATGTGCTCATCTGAAACAGCTGGTAAGTCACTTTCAAAGGTATTTTAGGGGCTGAAGATGAATATGAGCTGCTGTTTGAATTCATTTGACCATTTCTATTTCAACTTTTGCATAGAGGAAAGGAACCTTGAATTTTACAAGATGTGATAAGGTCGATCAGCTAGCAGTATATTACGTTCTTAAAATGAGCCAGCAGCAGTGTAAAAATGATTATTATTATTATTATTATTATTATGCATCAATAATTATGGTATTATTCTGAAATGGGCCCTTCTGTAGAATGAGTAGTTTTACTTTAGGTACTTTGAGTATATTTTAATGCTAATACTTTTGTAGTTTTACTTTTTTTTACATTGTGGTATTGCTAATGTTACTTCTTCCACCACTAGGTATAGAATATAATTTTCATAGATTTATTTCTATTTTATTATTTCTTCACTTTTTGACAGGATTTTCTTCTCCTATTTCCAGTCCTAGGCATGGATCGGGGCAGCAGTGCTGCTATGACAGCGCAGGCGCTCTGGTGCTGACGGGTGACTCGATGGGTGGCAGCACCCCAGACAGGGCTCACGACTGGGGCTCGCCTCCGTACAGGGAGCCACTGCGGGTGCCGGGGTACTCCCACTGGCTTTACAATGTCATGAGCTTCTACTACTGCTGCCTGTGGTCTGACCACAGCCACATCTACTTCAACCATCGGCCGTCTAGCGGTTGTCGCAACTACCAGCCCCCAAGAGCCGGTGAGACTATTCATAAGTCATGTCAAAAAGGGATAAACCAACCTCCACAATGCCGAGGAGGGATTGTAATTAACGGTAAACTCGTATCATATTCATGGCCTACTTTATTGCCTTTGTACACGCCCTGTAAAGAAACAAGTCAAGTATTAAATTTAGCAATATAAAGAAACGAAGGTTGAATATCTTGTAAACAATTTAATTTGGCTGAGAAATATTTACTCAAATGTAGAAACTAAGCTTTAACCTCCTCCAGGTGGGGGATGGCACATTGAAGTGGTATCGAGGTGTTCTAAAATGTAATTAAAATAAAGTGTAAAAGGGCTTAAAATATTATGATGGAAGTATGTGATGGCCATTCCCCTGACAGCAATCTTGGGGTTGATACCATTTGGTACACAGATTTGATGCAAAATTTTACCTTTTTTGACAACTTGGGAAACATGTTGCGTAACTTTGGACCGTTATTTATTGTTTCCGACTAACTAGCATGACATGGCTGCTAACAATGGATTCATTAGGGTTGTCTTGTTTTAAATGTTACCAGTATCTTCACTCTAGCTTTAAAACTGAGCCCGCCACAGCCTCTGAAAGACAGCATGTAGGCCGGGCCTGCGTTGGAACAGGTTTGTGGTGCATCACTTGCTCAGCTATCTTGATCCTTCAGGTTTGTGGTTTACAATGTTAGTCGACATTAACATCTGCTTTTCTCCTGCGTGGACGTTTTTTTTTTTCTAGGTTCTACCGTCAAATCAATAGTCTGTTTGTATGTCATAATCATTTTGGAAAAGATCATATATTTGTTAACATCAAACTTATTAATACGTTAATATTGAGTCTTGATTTTTGTTTAACTGCCTCTGCGTGGCCACACACACACACACACACACACACACACACACACACACATACTCATACTCCAGACATTACAGCAGCAGGTAATACCAGATCAGTTTGCAGGAGAAGTAAATGGATTACAGACCGCGGCTGAGAGTTAATATTTGGATCGTGTTTTGACGATCTGCTCTCCAGACACTGTAAACGCAACAATAAGCCGCATACTGATATGAGAGTGAGAGATCAGCTGTGTACTGTTCCAAATAAACATAGTTTGTGCCAAAATGTGTATTTGTTGTAAACGCATTGGTGATTTGTTTCTCGGCGCCTCACAGGTGTTGTCCTCGGGGATCCGCATTTCATAACGTTCGACGGCCTCGGCTACACTTTCAATGGCAAAGGAGAGTTCTGCCTTGTGTCTTCGGCGGACAGAGAGCTGAGTGTTCAGGCCAGAACAGAACAGGTGAAACTTAAGAACGGTGAGTCCACGTTTGACGTGAAAGCCCCGTCTGTGTCCCCTCTTTCATCCCCATGCTGCTACTGTAGCAGCTTTGTTTGGATGAAACGTGTTCCAATACTTTTGTGGAGAGACCGTATCTTATTTAAATTTTTTTAAGCAGTCACAAGATTGATTGCCTGCCTCCAGAGTTCACTCAGACATAATGACCTTTGTATTTCTTGCTGTAGTTTGTCTTTGTTGTTGTTGTTGCTTGCACTCTTCTCTTTCATGTGTTTTAAGGCTCCCTCTTATCTTTTACGCAGTTCTGCAAGGAAGTGATGTCATGTCCTCATGTGAGTGAAACATGTTGGCGCTGTGAAATGACCCATTTCCTTAGTTCCCTCTTGTTTTCGGTCAGTCTTTATTGGGGTCGGACGTGGTGAAGAAGAACTTCATTGTTTAGAATTTCCTCCAAGCCATTAAACAACAGCCGTGGCAAAGTGACTGCAGATGGCCAGATGTCATTAACGTTCTCCTCATTAGATCAGTAAAATCAAACTTGAGACTTTGAGCAGTGATAGGACGGTTCTTTACTTCAGAACACGTACTAAATAGTCAAGTTAACTATCTGTAAGAGTGTGATGTTTATGTCGCCCACCAAGGTACCTTGGCCAAAGCCACACGGCTGTCATCAGTGGCTATGAAGGAGAAGGCCTCTGATGTCATCGAGGTGCGTCTAGCCGAGGGCCAGCTTCAGGTGCTGAAGAACCAGAAGGTCCTACCTTTCACCGAGCAAAGATGGATGGACCTCCAGGGTGAGATCATTCAGACACTCCTGACCAGTTAATTCTAGTTGCCATCTTTCCTAAAATCAATATAAAAGATGAGAATACAAACCCATTGTCTCTTTCGTAGGAGTGTTTGTGTTCGCCCCCGGCCTTCAGAATGTGACGGTAATCTTCCTCTCTGGAGTCGGCGTTGAGGTTCGTTTGCACGAAGGATTCATGGCAGCGACCGTCCTGCTGCCCACAGAGTTTACCAACCACACTCAGGGTCTCTGAACTCAGGGCCGGATGAACTCTGACCCATCGGATGACCTGTTGACCTAACGAGGAGAGATCATCTCCTCAGCCGACGCCACGCCGGGGGAAATCTTCACCTTTGGAGCTGGCTGTGAGTGTGAAAGACTGTTGAACATGAGTCATTTTGATCAATGCTGAAATAATCAGTTTTCACTCCAAATCAGCACAAGAGAGATAGAGGAAGTAGAGCTCTGGCCAAACTACCAAATAACCAACATTTTACTATTTCTGCCTGTTGTGTTTATTACATCTTAATATCAGACTTACAGATTTTCCTCTACATTTACATTTGCATCGTAATCTTTCAGGTGGGCCCTAAGGCCATGAACAGAAACCAATATCGGCAAATTTCTGCCTGTTAACTGAAGAGATTTAGACAACATCATAATATGTCAAGTGGACAGTTGTGCCAGTCAGTCTATGAGAGTTTAAAAGTATTTAAAAGTATTATTTTAAATTTACTTTAAGAGCAACAGGTATAGAAATAGTTATATAATATGTGGTCACACCAATAAATGAATGTAATGTCAAACGTTTAACTGTTAGGTAGTGATGTTATTTGTTGGAACACATCAGGTTTTCTGGTCTAGAAACACAGATTTTATTGCATTTAAATGGGTTAAAAACTACGCATTTACTGTTGTTTTGCCCGTGACTACTTGTATTTTTCTGTATATGGCCCATAATCAAAAACGTTTGGCCACGCCTGGACTAGAGACGCACTAATAATTACCCATCATTGTGTCTTTATTAACGACTACCATACTTGAGCCACGTTTGGCTGAAGGCTTCGAGAAACGTTTTAAGGGGACACGGGAAGAAAACAAGGCACATGTTAAGAGTTAGCGCAGCTTCAGTAGATTACAGAGAGATAGCGGGCGCTGCGACCACACAGTGCCAGTGAAACCACTTCTCTGGAACACTAGTTGGGGCCAGACCGCACACATACACGATGATAATGTCTCGGCTTTAATTACAGTACAAATCCCTCGGAACGACTTTTCATGCGCTTGACCTTTTGACTGAAAGCACATGCTTCCGTCTAAGTGCAGCAAACACCCATCTTAAGCTTGTGGGAACTAATAGATTTAATGTTGCGGATATTTTTGTATGCATCAAGGTCTGCGCCCAAAATAAAACCATGACGGCATGCTGTGTGTGAGTCCTGCACTGAGCTCTCAGAGTTATGCTCTTATCTCCAAATTATAGCGTGCCTCATATTCTCTCGTTTTTGATACCGTGTTTTAGAGGATCGGTAGTTTAAGCCAAGCAGTCTGATTGGTCAAAGATAGATGCTGCATTGGCAATAATAAGTTGTGTGATTTTGGATACTTCCGACATCTCAACTACAACTATTGACATTAATTTGAGTTGGTTTAGGTTCAGTTTAAAACTTGTAACAATCCAACTTAGCTGCACAACTTAACTGGTGTTT